TTGATTTTGATCAAATGCCTCAATTCGATTCTTACATAAAAACTTTCGATAATAACTTTTAAAGCTATAAATAATTCCGGCATCACATGGTTGAAGGTGAACAGTGGTGTTTGATAGAAAAAAATGTAATTTAATATTACTAAAAGTTTCATTATCATCTACAAAATACAATAAAGCATTATCTAATAATAATAAAATCTTATGATGTTGATGTCGTATTAATAAATTTAATTTGTTAAGCCAATGTCGAAAAATTGAAGTCTGCATCCATGCTTTACTGTTTCAATAATAATGTATAGATAAACTTTCTTTTTTAATTCCTTTTAAAGCATATAGTATTTTCCATTTATGAATGAAAAGTGGAGGAAGCTTATCTCCTGTTGCAGAGCATGTAAACATAATTGTTATACGTTCTTTTAATTTTTTAGTGCCAGCTATTGCATGATGTGCAAGTGTTTTTGAAGGTTCCAAAAGCCAAAATAAAGTGGTTTCATCACAATTGTAAATATTATTCAAAAAGTATTTCTTTAAAACTTTATGTAAATCTATACGCATTTGAGGTAATTTCTCCAATAGTGCAGATGCTGCCTCTCCATGTCGAGTAATCTCAAAAATATAATGCCGTTTTTTAAACTTTTCCATCCACCATCAGATACTTTAAACTCTTCTTCTGCAAAAGTCTTAGCAAACTTAATACTTTTTTCTTGTAATAAAATTCCATTTACAGTTAATCCAGCATTTATCGCAGTATCAAACTATAATGCTATCGCCTCATCCGTTTTTGGAAAAAGTAGTGGATGGTCACGTTTGTTGGAAGCAAGAATTGAGTTTTCATTAAAATTAAGCCATTTATTTTTTTCAGCTAAAATCTCACTAATGATTGATCGACCAATTCCGTACATCTCTTTTAATTCTGCTTGAAACAAACTTTTGACATAATTATTTCTTTTGGATGCCAATAAGTGATTTGCGTGATACTTTTTGTTTTTTTGAACCTTCTAACATCGAATTATTTTTATGTTTTTACATTGTTAATAGAAGTGTAAAGAGAAATGCAACAAGTCATGGGAGTATGCACAAATCAAGTAAATGTTGGAAAATCAGGGGTAAGTTTCTATACCCAATAATATTAAAAAAAATTGCGCAATATAAAATTTCTAACTTTTGAAATCCAAGTATAATTTTCGAAGAGGTCCTGCTGAAATCTTAATATTATAAAGGCAAAAGAATGCATTTCGATAATTTGTCTCGACGCTATTCATGACCTCCAAAACTTTAAATTATAAGATTTATATTGTCGGAAATATTAATTTCCCATAATTATAGTTTGTTGGCATCGAAAGTCTGTGGTAATAGCATTTAAACATACCAATAATTTTATTCTTATTGATTTCAACAGGGGAAGTATGTGTAATGGTGGGTATGTCTTCTTTAATAAGATAGAATATTTTAAAAATCACACTATTTCTCACTATATTTATTTGCATTAACTATTAATTCGAAAAAAAAGAGTCAAGAAAGAATAAGTAATTTTTTTGTATACTATAGTGGTGAAATTATTGTTGGATTCGGGAAACATGATAGCAGTCAGAATGAGTATAGGGAACTATCTCAACAGGTAATGTCTTTCAGTTTGTAGGGCTCTCGGGTCACGATTGCATGATGTTATTTTTAGCATTGCAACAGCACGGTACTGATGTGAAGATAGTAACGTAAGAAAAGTTTATTTGTAAGCAGTTCTAGAGTGGAGATGCATGTATAGATAGGAGATGTTTTGTGTATATATGTGAGTTGTGCACAATAATAAAGAATCACAGCCAAAAAAATCGCCTTTTGCCTTAGTTACCTTTTTTTAGTATTGGATTGGCTGTGATGCCAGAAGTGCGACAGGCACACTAATCAATATTAACATTTGGTGGTGACTAAGACACAATGACTAGAGCGGAACATTTCTTTACTTCCTAATAATATTACCACGAATATTCGAACCTCCTTCCATAAAACCTCGTTAGTCTAGATGTGCACTCCTATATATTATTCTTATCTCCTACCTTACCTTTCTTGAAGTTTCGCCCATCCCGGGCACAACATGAGAAAACCATTCACCGAAAGTATTCCCGAAGTCTCAGTCTAATAGGGCCATCAAGAAAGACTGCTAAGAAAGAAAAAGGAAGTTCGCTTGAGTTTCGTCTGTCCTGGGCACAACCACCTATGTTAATGTGAAAAAAAAAGGTTGTGCTAAGTTTTTGTTTGAAGACATGGGGTGGTATGAAGTTGACGGTGCTAGAATGATTGATGTTTTTATATAAGGGGGAATGTTATGGGCAGGGTTCTCGGATCGTGATCGCATAATGTCATTTTTAGCGTTGTGACGGCATGGAACTGATGTGAAGATAGTTATGTAAGGAGAGTTTATTTATAAGCCGTTCTAGAGTGGTACACAGTTATAAATAGAAGAATGTTTTGTGTGTATAAGTGGATCGTGCATAATAATAAAGAAACACTGCCAAAAAAAACTATCTCTTGCCTTATTTTAGTTACTCCTTTCCAGTGTTAGATCAGCTGTGGTGCTTATGAGAAATATTCGTTTAGTAGCATTTGTGCCGGAAGTATTTGAAATTGCGTTTGTTATCATTAGAGCTCTTATGATAGGTTTCATTTAATGCGAGAGGAATAAGGATGGTTAAGAGAGATTAATTAGACTATTTTGTTTATGGTGAGATTAAATTTGTAACGAGTATAATTATAATGAATATATACAGGTTGACCAAACACAAATAAAATTAGCTTTTTGATTGGCTATTCTATATATTCATTATATAACAACATCATAAGGATATGTCGTTATAAAGAATTGTCGTTATAAGAGGATCAGAGTATTATGATTGATTTCGCAGATTTGGTTGTTATGTTGGTATAGAGAGTTTAAATAGGAATGTTATTATAAGGAGACAATATTTAATAATAATGAATCAAAAAAATAAGATTTGGTCATTTTAAGGAGGATGTTGTTATATAGCAGTGTCATTTTTTTTTTTTTTTTTTTTTAGTAGGTAAACATCATTTCTTTATTTGATTTGTATATATCAAGATATACATTGTGAAAGAAACAACATCTCTCATACGCTATTGCAATAAGTTAAATGCTAGCTTGCCTACAGCAACTACTTGACTAATATTGAAAAGAAAATTTAAAACAATATATCTTGCCAAGCAGCACCAAGCAGCTATGGTTACCTACTTAGTATTAGGGGGAGGAATTAGTCAATAATAAAATTAAATTTTTGATACATTTGATGTAGTTATATTTACAATAAATAAAGGAGTTAGTAACTATAGTAGGTAAGTCAACCATAGTTTCTTGTGAGGAAGTGTTGATAGATGAAACTTCGTCTTATGGATTGTGAGTATTGATAGTTTTGATGGAGTGAGATGAAGTGAAGGATTTGTTATTAGGATGCTACTTAATTTCTGTGATTGGTGAGGTATTGGCTGTTGAGCAACGAGATTTCCAGATTAAGCTATACAGCTGAGTTAGGGCTTCTGATGCTGCTTCAACCCAGTTAGAGAAATCGGAAACTGAAAATATTTTGTCTGTAATGCCACATGACAGTTCAATGACTTGCTATATATTTGAAATTAGAGATTGGTTATTGTTTGATTGAAGTATTTGATTAATAATTGTAATGATTTGGTCAGCTTCTTTGGAAGTCTCAGAACATTTGAAGACATGTTTTATATCTTAAGTGCAAAGTTCTTATCTTGGGCATAGAGTGTTCCGATATTGGCTAGGATATAACTGATGTAATTGTTGACAAGTAGGTAGGGTTCCTGATAATAACTTGATTCTGAATGTGATAAGGTTGCTATAATTATTGTTATGTAGTTTCTTGATTTCTTTGTTGGATTTATTGATAATTTTTAAGCCATGTAAAGTATGCGTGTATTGAAAAGTTTGAAGAACAGATAAACTTTCACAAATTATGTAGTCTCTAGTAATGCCAAAGATCTTTTTGCATCATCTGACACTGCTTCCAAGGCAGAAGTTGTTGATTAGTGGACTTTCAGGAAAGTATAATGAAGGGTTGCTCCATTGGATAGTTTTGGATATTGTTGGTTTAGATTTAGATTTGGTGTTGTTATACTTGATCTTCGCCCAAGATCATCTTAATATATGCTTGGATATTTTTTATGCAGAAGCTTTTTTGTTAAAAGAGTACTACTTAAGATTTTATTTCTAAATGTTAGTAAGGAAGATAGATTATACTTATTTTTCTTGATTAGTAGATTATTTGTAAAAATGAGACATTGTATAGTTTCTGTTTGTAATATTAGATTCTATTTTTTTTTGATTGATGAGCTGTTAATAATGTTGATAAGCTTATAGATCTGCTGTACTTTTTTAATCCACATTATTATATTATATCCCCATATATTTTTGATTTGTAGGTCTATAATGTACTTGTTAGTTTTTATTAAATTATCTATATATATTACTGAATTGTTTTCTTGCAGATTAAGATCTTTTCCTAATTTGTTTAGTTGTAGTTTAATTTTTTTTGACTTTTGTAGAGTATTGATACAGTCCACTAAATAGTTGTAAGTTGTTTTAACTTTTCAATTTATATAGCTTGGCAAGAATAGATTGGAAATGTTTGTTATATTAAATGATATGTAGATATCACTTTTTGCTACTGCCAGAGTCCCAATCATAACTAACAGAATACTGATATGTTTATTGTATTTAGAGTAGAAGATAATGGTTTTATTATTTGCTCTTGCTATAATATAGCCATTTTTGAAATCTAAATCTACAGTAACAAAGAATCAATCTGTTTTGAAAATTTGTTTGATATCAGTAAGTATTAGATTGTTAATATAGAGCAAGATACTTGTTAGATTTGTATTTTTAATCTCTATGGTAGGTATAATATTTGATGGTTTTTTGAAGTACAATTGGATTAGCATCTCTTTTGGAGCATTGGCTAGATGATATTGATTATTCTTATAATATATTGTGAACGTGATTTTCGGCGAGTCTGTCACTTCTTGGACCAGCACTCGCATAACATTCAGGTGGGTAGATTTCTTTAGTCGAGGCATGTGATTTAACATGGCCAGGTTTTCTTTTAACTACTGTTCCTCTTGTTCCTCGCCCTTGTGCTTTTATTGATAATATTTTGCCACCGTTCCTTCGCGGCCATTTGGATTATCATCTTTCCAAGCTAGCAATACTAAACGAAGTAAGTTTATTAATTGGAAATTCCCTTCTTTGGCATCATCGATCGCACTACTAATTTAACAATTTTTTTAATTAGTTGTCTTACTATAGAGTGCGATACTTTTGGGTGTTCAGTTTTTCTTGTTTCTATTTTTCAGTTCATTTTTCGCTCTTTTCTTTTACATTAGTACATAGTTCTTTTATAGCCTAATGCTATGCTAGAATAGACTATTGCTGACATCACAGATTTAGATTTTTTAAGCTTACTAATAAACTATCGTCTAAACTACTCCATTTTCAACATCACATATCTGGGTTTTAGATACGCGACGCGCGAATCACGTTACGCGTTCATCCTTTATTATACCTTTCCCATTCACAATATCTATAGGGTTATAGCTTCTTGTATTGAAACTAAAATTTTTTGTATGTTGCTATAATACTAACATTTGATAAGGATTTTGCTTGCATTAACCAGGTAGTATAATTCTTTAACATTTGAGTAATTCTTGTTTCGATTGCATCTAACTTTGATATAAGTAATTTGGTTGTTGAGTATCATTGCCCAAAATCTTGCTTTGATATTGTAACGGTGTAACGGTGAGTCAGTCGCTAACTCTAGCAGAGATTCGCGCAACCGTTACTGGGGTAATAAATGAATGGGTGATTTTAGGCGTGTTTGTATTTGACCGAGTCTTTATTAATTTCTCAC